CCCGGCCCCCGCCCTCTTCGTTCCGCGCATGCGCCCCACGATCTCGGTGCAGGTGCAGTGGAGGCTCTCGCCGCGTGCTCCGGGTCCTCGCGAGCCATACCCGCCGACGCTGCGGGCCGGGGAGGAGGGGAGAGGTGGAAGTGAGAGGACAGGTAGTCCCAGCCCCACCCCCAGCACTTGTAGAACTCACCTCCCTGCATCTTTGCACCCTCTTACCCGCGTCGCCCGAATTCCCCGAAAGTGACCCCGCAAGGCAGCCCCGAGCTGAGTTCACACCCGCGCGGCTGAGGATGAGGCCTGGGGGTCCAGGCCTAGGACTCTAAGCCCGTGTTGGGGCCCAGGGAGGAGGTTACCGTCGCCTAGAGGACAGGAAGGGGACTACCCCTGGCAGCGTCCCTACTGAGGGACTCAGGCGAGTGGGGAGAGGGAGGACGCCAGTCCCAGGAGTTGCAATGGTCCACCGGCGGCGCCGCAAGCGCAAGGGTCCCAAGAGTCATGGGGAAGGGGTGGCCAAGCTGGGAAGTCACCCCTACCCGCTGTGTCAAGAGATGCCAGAAATTGCCTGGGGCAATTGCCTCCTCCTTGCAGACCAAAGTGGAATCAGGGAAAATCTCAAAGGCACTTGTTGATCCATGTGCTGCCTGGGGGCTGCTGGGTGCCCTGACCAGCCACAGTGGGACCAGGCTCTGAGATGACCTGAGGCTGGTCAGGTGAGTGGCAGGAAGAACGTCCCAGCAAGCTGGACAGAAAGCAAGGGTCCAGGCAGGAAAAACCCAGAGCAGGGCTGGAAGGGAGTGGAGGGTGTAGTGGCAGCTGGTGGCCTGGAGCGGTCAAGGGGCTCCCAAGAAGGAAAGGCTTGGAATGTGGGCCTTGAGTACCAGACCAGGTATTAGAAGAACACGCTATCTTGCTCCCTGATGGGGGCCAGAGGGGAGAGAACCAGGCCTGCTGGCCAGGAACTCTTAGGCAATGTCCCGAGATGGACCCCAGATCCTTGTGTGAAGGGGAACCTCAGAGCAGAGTGGCCCAGTCCCTGCAGGGCCACAGCCTCTGCGGGCCGTTACCCACTTCGCCTCATCCCCGGACCCTGAGCCTGAGGCTACCCCTCCTCTGCTCACAACAGCGAAGTCCCAGGATGGCTGGAGGGGCCGGGCTCTCACTCAGCCCAGGCTTGCTGCCTCCTGCCCCCGCAGCGGCCTGACTTCACCCTTCAGCCCCCACAAGTCCCTGACAGCCTCCAGGGCCACGAGGCAGTGGTCTGCCCCCACCCCACGGGTCCTGGAGAGTGCCAGGACCAGGGTGGGAGGGAGCCAGACTCAGCTTGGAAGGGACAGGCCAGGCCCCAAGGATGGCCACCAGGAGGGTCTTGGAGGTGTTGGGGCCTAGACTTCAACATGCTCAGAGCTGGGGGTGGCCTGAGAGGAGAAGACCCTGCAGGCAACGCAGTGGCCCCAGGCACCACCTCCGAGCCTGTCTGGGGCCCAGGGAGGTGGCTGCAGTCACCTAGGGGTCAGGAAAGGGACAGCCCCTCACAGAGTAGCCCGCAGAAGGACCCAGGCAGAGTGGGGGAGCTGGGAAGCAGGCCACACACCATATCTGCTGCCATCAGGAGCCCATTTTACAGAAAACCAAGGGTCGGTGAGGTCAAGGGCAGTCTGAACTCCCAGAGCCCAGGACTGCCCACCTCCCCCACCAGAAAATCCCACTCATTTCTCTGGCTTCGGCTGCCCAGAGTCCCCTCCCATCAAGACCTCCGGGCTGCCCCAACCACCTCAAGATTCCCAGCCTTATACCACTGCCAGAGCCTGGTGGGTACCCGATGGGGTGGCGGAGGTCATGCATGCAGCAGTGAGACCCCCCTACCCAGATCCCAGACACCAGATTTGGGAGGGCACCCTTGGTACTGAAGGGAGGAGGTGCCAAACACCGGATGGTTCGCTGGCAGAACAGCCCCCGAACCCCACTGAAGAAGGGAAACCACAGGCAGACTCTCGGGGTCTCCTGGGTCACAGTAGAGGGGGGCCCAGGGAATGGGACTGGGAAGGATGGCAGAAGGGGTGGGAGCACTGGAGGAAGTGAACCAGAAGACCAGGAGATGGAAAGAAAAAAGAAAGCCAGGACCGATTGGAGGCCCAGGGTGAAGCTAACAGGAACCACAAAGAGAACGTGAAGGGGAGGAAACAGGAAAGGACAGCCACTGTCACTGTTATTTCAGCTGAAGGACTGAGACTCCTGTTTGGAACCTGTCCAGCACCTCGAGTGGACCTTCAGTTCTGAGGGTAGGGAGTGATGGGACCTGCTGCGGGCAGCTGCAGACCCGGCGCCCCGCTCCGTGCTCTCCTCCTCACCGGGTCCCTCATCCACCACTGGCCTTCCCTTCAACACCGCTGGGTGAGTGCCTACTCGCTGTTGGGCCCTGAAAAAATAAAGCTCTCCTGGGGCTTTACAGCTCAGTGGGGGCGGAGCTGGAAATAAATCAGTAACAGAGATCAATACTCTAGTATCTCTTAGGGTCAAAGAAAAGTAAGCTGGAATAAGGGGGTGAAGAGTGAGGCAGGTGGTGGAGGAGCCCAAATGGGAACTCCATGGAGAGGGGACAGCATGTGCAAAGGCCCTGGGGGCTTTGAATTAAATGTGCCAGCAGGGGATATTTTCAGACAGGTGAGCTTAGGAAGTTTACTTACCACACTGTTCTCTAGGAAGCTACTTGAAGGCATGTAACAGGGAGATGATGGCATGGGATCTAGGAAACAGTGGATCCAAACTAGAAGAGTGAAGGGTGGGCAGTGGGCATGCCCAGTTGGCTAGGAGCAGGAGGGCAAGGGCCCAGGAAGGGACACGTGGGGAATGAGTTGACTGCTAGAGAATGTGATAAAGGCAGACAAGGGGGAAAGAGAAGGCAGACACAATCTCCAGAGAAAACAAAAGCTGTCCCAAAGGTAACTCATTTCCAGCTCTCTCAGCCTCCAAGAATTATACTGACATGGAGTCATAATAGCCGCCCTCGATCCAATCAGCCTACAGGTGAGCCAGAAAGCCGTGTCATAGCTCTAGGACAAACCTGAATGCCACTGGCCTTGACCACACGCAGGGCCAAACCCTTCGCAAGAGCTGTCTATGCTGACTCTCCAATCCACTTCTCCAGTGAAACCCCACTTCAGGCCTTCCCCACCCTCAACTGACCCTGGTCTTGTCAAGGCTGATGACGACCAAGGCTGTCAAATCCAGTGGTCCAGCCTCGGGTCTTGCTTGACCTGGGGGCATGTGATTCGCTGAGCCCTCCCTTCTGCCCGAAGCCCCCGCCCATCTTGTTCTCTTCCTGCGCAACAACTGCCCGGTCTCCCGTGCCTGCCTGCCCTCCCAGCGCACACAGCCCTCCTCTGTCCGCAGGGATCTCGGCCAGCACTCGGGTCCTGCCCTTTCCCAGGTGCACCTGTCCAGGAGCCTCTCGGACCTCCCCGCTGCTTCCATCCCTCTTCCCCCCTCCCCTCCTCCCTTTCTCTCAAAACCCACCCGCAATTCCCGCTAGCTCTACTTTCAAATACACCTGGATTTCAACTCCTCTTCACCCCTGCTGCTGCCGCCACCCAGTCCCGGCCCCCCACTTCCGGTTCTGTCCTTGACCCCCCGAGTCCACAAAACACTGCATGCCCAGATAAACTTAAACCCGGGATAAATGACTTTTGGTATAAATGTGTCTCAAACGTTACACGGGACATACTTACACCAAGTCCTTACACTAGAAATACCTGTACTTTTCACACTAAAAAGTGCTCACTGGTGTTCTAAGTGTGTTTGTGAACCTGGCCACAAGTCAACAACACAGGTCGGCATCCTGCCTCACTTACAGCCAGGAGTGGTCACTGCCTGAGGCCAGGCAATGGGATGTGAGCCTGTCTGGCAGCGCTCTGAACAGACAGCACCTGCCTCTGTCACCCCCTGCTCCTTGAACAGGTGGATCCTGGTCCCTGCCACTGCACCCCACTCACGCCCAGACGTGGGGGGGGCCAGCCCAGATCTGCCCTGGCTGCAGCACTCCTCAGTCTCTCTCTGACCGGCTTCAGAGTTCACAGGTGTCATCACCCCCAGACCTCTAGTCAGCCTCCCACCGTGACCAAGGTAGGACTCTGGTTTGTTCACTGTCCAGACACCTGGATCAGCACCTGCATGCCAGGCCGTTCCAACAAAAGGGTACCACGACAGGAGCAGTCAAGTTCAATGGCTGGGAGGCCAGTGGGGCCAGGGAAGGCTGGGGGCCAGGATCTGAATAGATACGCGCATCGCATCACAAAGACAGGACATGACGGGCTGGGGTGGGGACTAGGAAGGTCTGGCTTTACCCACCTGAGGCAGCAGCACAGGGACGCCACAGCCAGAGAACTAAAACCCCAGGGAGGCCAAGTGCCCCAGCAGCCACTTCCAATCACAGCCCTGCCGTGCTACTGAGTACTTCTAACAGTATGCATGCAACCCTTTGAAAAAGGGCTATAATTTTTACTTAAAAAAACATGTACAGAATGCACAGGGGAAGAGAAAGAGGGAGGCCGCCCACCTGGTGCTGCGCACACACGTGTGTGGATCGGGGGTTGAGCCTGTCTTCAGGCCCATGTCACTATCCAGGAGTTCCTGATATGCAGGGCCCAGGCTGGGGTCTGCAGGAGGGATGGGGCAGGCAAGACAGAAGGGGGGGAAGGGTCCCAGCCCTCCCCCGCACCCCACCCACTCACACCCCCTCCAGCAGCCTCAGGCTTCTTGGCTACAGCGGGCTTGGCTCTGTGGGCCCACCAGCAGGACCTCCAGGGAGCCCTGGACCGCGGCCGTCTCCTCATCAGTGCAGGAGAGCCCTCGGAGGCTCGGCACTGGGGCAGCTGCTCCAGAGACCAGGCCGGCCTCTACACTCCCCCAGCCTCCGAACAAGGGCAGGCAGGCAAGGGAGGTGGTCCTTGGAAGGCGGGTTCCCTGAGGACCCGGTGCTTGTGGGTGCAGGTCCACAAGTGTGGCCAGACAGCCCCACTCAATTCAGGCCCTGGAGTGGGACAAGTGCCAAGAGGGCCTCCGCCCACATGGAACAGCTGGGGAAACCAAGGCCCAGACAAAGGCCCAACCAGGGCCTCCAGGGGGCAAGGAAGGGGGGCTCTGGCGGCCAGAGCAGGGAGACAGGACACAGGCATGCCGGGCCAGGTGTTTATTGATGAAGGAAAGTGCTGGCTCCAGGTCCTCAGCGCCCAGCCGGCCAGCAGGCACACAGGGCCCGGCGCTCGGCCTGCAGCAGGAGGGTCTCCGTCTGAAAAGCAACAAGGGGCCGTGAGGGCGCTGCACGGTGGCCCCCACCCACCAGTTCCCCAGGGCCCTCCAGCTCCTGGCTTCCCGAAACCTTCTGACAGTCCCGTCTTCACCAGCTCCCAAGACTCTCAGAGCCTGAACCTGCACTGTGACACCACCCCCTCCCCCGCTGCCCTCCAGGCATCCTCTCCCCACTCCTCCCCACCGCTCTGCTGGAGCCTCTGCAATTTCTGCCATGGGCCAGCCCTGCCTCCCTGGTCCCTACACCTGGACCACCTTCCCTGCTTCTCCTTCACCTCATCCACCCCTCCCAGGCCCACTCCGTCCCCTAACACCTCTCCCAATCCCTGAAGGTGGGTGGGGGCTGCTCCTCTCAGGACCAGGGCACCAGGCTCGGAGCCTCAGGCCCTGTAGCCTCCAAGGGTCGCTACAGAGAGCAGTCTGGACCCTTGGAAATTGGTCAGGAGACCAGGGTAGGGTCTCCCCTTCTTTCTGTTTCTAGGAATGCTCTCTGCTTTCCAGAAAGAGAACATATTTCTGTTATAAATGAAAACTCCGTTGGCTGGGGCACAGCAACTTCGGGGAGTGGGTGCTCACTGCTCATTCCATACCTGGGGGGTGACCCCTGGCACCCTGTACGCGTACCAGTCCCTCCCCAGGTGAGGCTGGGGGCTGGGGAACCTCCCAGACAGCTGTGCTCAAGCTGACCTTCCACGCCCAACACTACCCCAGCGCTCCCTTTTAAAGGCCTCTTCCCGGCCTCAGTCTCCTCTCTGCCCGGCCTCAGTCTCCTCTCTGCCCTCACAGCTGGGGAGTGCCTCATCAGGACTGCCTGTCCCCCCTCTGGGCCTGCGTAGGGGTCGCCGGGAAAAGTGCCCAGTGCAGCCCTAGAGAGGAGAACTGCCTGCATCCTCTCTCACTGGGGCTAGAAACAGAGTGTGGGGCATTGGATCGGGAGATGGCGGGTCCCTCCTCCCAGGCCTCCAGAGGCTCACCCGGGCGTCCAGGCTGTAGGCCGTCTTCCGCAGGTCCTGCAGGG